TATATTGTTGGAAAAATGGGCGATTTGTCTACAGATAAACATGTCAAGTAATAAATATAAATAACATAATTCAATATTTGCATAATCAGAACAATATGATAACATTATAATTCAACAATTAGAAGAGAGTTAGAATGCAAGCCTTGAAGTCACGTCGAAGAAGCTGTGCTAAAGTTGTGTTATCTCCCCTTTGTGCGGATATTTTCGGCACTACACGGCTCCAAAATAAAACTTATACGACTCATAGTCGATTTTTCCTTCTATGGGAACAACTACAAGTACATAAAGAACGGGCCACACATCGAGTTGTCAAAACTATAAAAATATAGTATGAAAATATTGAGAATATAATCCTTCAACTTGTCATTTTATAGTTCTATCTTTCAATGAAATATCATCTCCTCTTATAGGTGAATATCAACCCGTACAATTAAACCATTAAAATATAAGTTATAATATAAATTATGATATTTTCATTTGTGTTAAAACTGATTACTAAATTAAAAAATATAAAATTAAATGATTTAAATATTGAAAGGTAAAAACTTTATTTTCATGTTACAACATCCATATAGCCAACAGGATCTATTCACTGGCTTTCCACTTTATAAAACCATGATTAATACCTCTTTGTCTTAAGCCCCGTATGTTTCTCATTTTTTCCTCATTAAAATGAAAAATATGACCGTTATCCATCACATCAAGCCACTAAATTTGAATTTTTATCTCTTGTGTGGGGCCTGTAACGACTATATTTTTCATTTTCATTCTTGAGAAAATGAAAAACAAATGGGGGCTTAAGTATTGAAGAGGCGAGGTTGATTTTATGGCAGCAAGTAGCTACTGTCCAATTGCGGAAGGGAATATTCCTGTGCCACATATTTTAAACCATTTCTGTTATTGTCAACAAGTTTTTCTTTCTGCAACGAAAATCATATCTCACACTTTAAAAAGACAACTAATTACATATCGATGAAATAAACTAAAGATGGAGAAATGGTATCAAGACGACCAACCTAATCAGGAGACACGAAATATGGTCCAATGTCAAAGTTTATGAAGCTAACTGTTGACCCCAAAAAGTGCGCCAACAGATGCCGGTCCCACCCGCGCTTGCGTGGGCGAATGTCCAACACGCTAAGACACGTGGACGGTCTAAAACGAGCAGTTCAAGGGGGCGTGGGAGTAACCCAACGACGCGGGACGGTGACGTTCGGAATTCGGCAAGTGGTTCGTAATTCGATTGTACAATAATTACCCACCGGTGCTCGTAAATGTATATGCAAAAGTGTATAAACTCGATTTGTATATCGCAAGTAACTGAGAGAGAGAGTTGAGTAAATTTAGTCTTTTGTATTGATTCTTTCATTCGCCTTTGACATTACACGATGGAAGTATTTATAGTGATACATATGAAATGGGAGCCCTTGGATGAAGTGGTACGTGGACTCATCTCTTTAGTTCAGACGTCTTTTCCTAGGTACGGGACTTGACTTGCTAGCTTACGGCGCATTTATTGCTTGCGCAGGTCCTCCATACTAGTGACAAGACTTGACATTTATGCTTGTGACAAACGTTCCATCAGTCATTCGAATAAGATCTCTGAGCAGGCGATCTCTTGGGAGAAGTGACTGTGGAGGAAGCTCCTTGTGGTTAAGAGGCTCGTGCATCAGCTTCGGGGCTTCGACCATTTGACAAATACTTCCACTTGAGGACCTCAGCTACATTCAAAAGGATCCATGCTTCGGGTCATGGGCCTCGGTAGTTGGACTTCGGCAGATATTGCTTGCGCGTACATCGGATCGGGGAGCTTCAGTGGATGGACCTCGGCTGAAGCACTTCGGATATAACCCACCTCGGCAGGAATGCCACGTGGATCAGGATGAGTGGGTCATTGGCCCAGGTGTATAGGACAGGTATGACAACACGCAACAATAGTCCCCCAAGTCCAAGTATAATCATTAATGTAATGCGTGGACTTTAATGGAGTAAAAGTTGAAAGAATTTTTGAACCCCAAATA